GCTGACACTGGATTTAAACCCAAGCAGAAAGATAATGGCAGCCAAAAGCTATGCAGCTAGAGAGAGATCAGTTAATGGAGTTTGGGTTAACGACTTAGATCCTTGCCATGTTCCCCACAGCCTGAGGCCATTCATAAACACCGCAAAATGAGGCATGTCAATATCGCTTACCGCCTGCAAGCCGCGCGGGTCATTACATCGCTGTCAGGACGTATGCTTATCCAGGTCAAATGTGGATATTAAATTTTCCTGTAATGGAAAGGTGAAGCTATCAAATCCTGCGTCTATTAAAGTCTGTGTGTCTTTCCCGGCAGCCATATTCCTTCAGTTTTTTAACACGTTTGTAGGCCCATACATTAATGACAAGGATTATCTCCTCACTTGTCCAAATATGTTCGGCTTATGCATTGCTCAGGGCGTACGATCCTTTCAAATGTTCAGTTTTGAAGGATACGTTTCAAAATCAAATACAAAATACCAAAGGTTTTACCGTTAATAGAACACAACAATAAAATAACACAGAAAAAAACACCACGAAACAAAACAAATAAAAAACAAACCAGAAAAAAACCCCAAGAAACAATAATAAAAAAGATCAAACCATCCCTTACCCTCCAAACAAAACAAAACAAAACGAAATTAAGACCATTAGGGTAATTTGAAATTTGAAGTAGAAGAAAAGAGTAAAACAAAAAGTTGAACTCTCGAGTGCGGGGAGACTACATCTCCGAGAAGACTGGTAAAATTGGGAGCACTGCCATATTATCGACAGCCGAAGTTTTAACAAATGCAACTCAGGAATTGAAAACTGCGACGTAAGACCCTCAGTCCAGCTGCACTTATAGCAAGTGAACAAACAAACGATCCACCCTGTCAGAACGATTGCTTGAAGATTTTTCAGACATTCCAAACAGAATATGTCTGTCAGACGGGTTCGTTGCTTTCTACTTACTTTTTTTTGGTCATCTGTAGTCCATTGGTTAGGACCGAGCTCGTAATCATGAGGTTGCGGGTTCGAGGGTTTGGGGTGAAGTGTTTGTAAAAG